GTACACGCCCACAACAAGTGCGCCAAAGTGCCGCCTGTCCCGGCCGGCCGGCCTGTCCGCGCGGCCTCTTGCTGATAGTCGCTCTGTCTCTCTCGCACCCGAGCGGCCTGCCCCGTGAGTGCGAGAGAGACAGAGACAGTCGGCTGGCAGGTGCCGCGCGGAGGCGCGAACAGCCGACGCCCCGCCCCGGGCCACCGTCGTGGTGGACCCCCTGGCGGGACCTCCCCGAGGACGGGGCCGCGCGGGGAAGGCCGTCTGCAGACTGACCGGTTTGCGGTGTGTGTGTGTTTGGGGCGCGCTGGGGCCGCCAGGACCAAAGCCACGGCGTCGGCCACAGCCCCCCGCGGTGCCGCCGTGCCGCGGTGGCGGTAGGCCGAGGCCCGGCCTGGCGGTTTGACAAGGCTCCGGCATCGTGGCTGCACACGCGACCGAAAAGCCTCTAATCTAGGACAGCCTTGCGGCCCCGGCCCCCCCGGGCCCCGACAGGACAAGGCCTCGCGGGCACACGGCCCCGCCGGACACAGGGGACTGATTCGCCGCACAGTGGGCCAGAAGAGCGGTGGTGGCGGCCAAAACTCTAGACGCGTTTTGAGCTCCAGAGTCGCTAAATGGGACTCGAATCGAACGTGTGACCCCACCAATGGATTCCTCGTTTGGAGAGCAATCCATTGGTGGGGTCACACGGTCGGTTCGAGTCCCATTTAGCGACTCTGGAGCTCAAAACGCGTCTAGAGTTTTGGCCGCTACCTCCGGTCTTCTGGCCCTCTGGGACGCCCCATGAGTGCGAGAGAGACAGGGCGACGAAAACGACTGTCAGGATCAAACGCGCGCTAGATCCGCTGAGGACTGGCCATGAAATGAGTGCCTTGTCAGGATTGGAAGTTCCCTGCCCGGACCCTCCTGCCGGCCGCTATGGACACGGACCCCTTTACCTTTCCCCTCCAGAAGTCCTCGTCTCGTCTCACTCGACGCCGGACGGCCGCGGCAATTCATTGTCGTCTTAATGCGGTCGAACGGTGCGCTGAAAGAGATTTAGCCTGGCGCGCTCCGCGTGCCCGGCAGGCCGACTGACGTATGGGGCCAGTCGGGGGAAATTTGCCCCTCGAAGCCGGCGGCGGTTGCGGCTCTGGCGGCGCGATGGACGTGTCGTCGGCGTGTACACTGTACTGCTCTGTGCTCCGCGGCGAAAGTGGGCTAAGCAGCTTGGCTTGGACGCGATGGATGGGGGCAGCCTCACTTATCAAGCGCGTGACACAGGGGAATTCAACGGCCCGTTTACGTCGTAGGCTGGAAAGGGAAAAGTAAAAACACTGCCGCCCCCAATCCCTTCGTCCTTGGGCCGTCAGTGGCGGATCCAGGGCCGGCCCTTTCGGGGGGGGGGGAGGACTTTCTGCCTTCTTACAGGGACAGGTAAAAACCCAGTGTATCCGCGCCTCAAATCCATGATGAAGTGTGAATGGACTTGTTGGTTCGGGAACTTTGGTACGTGTTTGCTCGGTCCGTTTACCTCGCACTGGCGTCCAGCGAGGCGGCGGCAGGGCATCGGCGGATCTACGATAACGAATGTCGCAGCCCACTCGTTGACACGGCCGTTAAGTCCCTCCAATCTCTTTCCTTCTTTTTTTATCCCCCTTTTTCCGCCGCTCCTGGACCGTAACCAGCCACTTCCTTGCTGCACCGGCGGCGCGGCATGCGTCTCGCTCTGTCTCTCTCGCACTCATGGGGCGTGCCGTACAGGTGCGAGAGAGACAGAGCGACGACTCTCGGAATCGGTCTGCTGTCTGGACGGCTGGACCGGAGGGACGGGCTCCGGCTCGGCTCGGCGGGAAGTAAAAGGACTCGCGACGTGTACGGTGGACGGAAGCGGCGGCCGAGCCGAGCCGAACGCGCCGCCGAGCCGAGCCGAGCCGGACCGGTGCGGGCCGAGCCGAGCCGGGTGATGGACGGCGAAGGCGCGTTGCGTCACGTGTGTAAATCAGGACGCGGCGCGGCGGCGGCGCCGATTAGAGTCGCTCTGTCTCTCTCGGGTGGTCGCCGCCGTCGCCGCCCCCCGGGCCGGCCGCGCTTGGGCCGCGCTGGGCCGCGCGTGCGACGGAAGGCGCACCAAGTCAGCCGTCTCGGCGTCGCGGCACTCGGCGCTAATTCCCGTCGTTTTCAGGAAGCCATTAGGCTGCCGTTAGCGCCGCCCCCGCCGGCTTTAATTTGCGTGCGTGTGTGTGTGTGTGTGTGTGTGAGTGGACGATGAATGTAAACAGACAGCTTTGTACCCGTCTCAGCTGCCGCCGCTGGCACGCAAACTAGTCGAAAAAAAAAACAATGCCATGTCCACGAGAACTCTTTAAGGCACCTTCTGCGGGGGTTTTCCGCGCAATTCAGTTTGAACAGTGACCTGTGCGGTGTGTATTTTCGGCAGCGCGTGCTGTACATTTGGTGGACCTGCGTTGATCGGCCAGTCATTGTTCGGTCCAGCCTTGGTGCGGGTGAAGTGGTCTCTAGAGGGTCATGCGGGTGGGTCCCGGAGTGAAGGGCGGAGTGACCATGGTCCCGGGGGGGGGGGTCGTAACTCCACCGTCCCGATATGAATGAGCTCGTAAAAGCTTTGAATTAGGGAGGCGGACGCGGCAATAAGTACTGCCTGGTTCCTTCGAGGTTGGGGCGCGAGCGCTGTGAGCGCAGCGGGGCTGCATAGGTGTGTGGCGGCGGTGCCGTGAGCTCAGCAGTGGCGCGACGACGCTCTCTGCGCTCGTTCGTCGTGGTGTGCATCGCGTTGCCGGCCATAAAGGCATTTTTGTGGCGCGTGGATGCGGGGCCGTTAGGCAGCGCGTCGTTTTGAGGCGGGGCGGGGCGGGGCGGGAGGAGCATACGCGACAGGGCCGTTAAAAAGCCCTGCAGGGCCTTCCCTGGCGATGCTCGGTGGCGGCGCGGCGGTGGCCAGGCAGCCGGCCGGTCATGCCGTAGAAAGCGACTGGCTCTGATTTCCCGATGAGGATGAGTCGGCCTGGCCTGCCACTGTCGCTGCGTCGCCGTGCCCGCCGCGGCCCACACACTGCACCGCGCCGCGCCGTGAGGCGTACGAAGACAGGGGCGCGGCCTTGGGGGAAGGCTTTGGGGTTCCGTTCGATCGGCGCCGTGCTGGTCCGCGACGTGCACCCCGCGGGGGCTGCTTGCCCGCCGACTTGCGATACCCGGCGGCTGTCCTCGGCGTCCCCATCCTCGTCAGATTTGAGGCGAAGCGGGCAAGGGGCCCCACCGCCGGCCGGGGCGGGGCGGACAGAGAGTTTGCTGGTTTCGTCTTAGACGCGCGATTCTGGGGTCTGCACGGTGGGCCAGAAGACCGGTGGAGGCGGCCAAAACTCGAGACGCGTTTTGAGCTCCAGAGTCGCTAAATGGGACTCGAACCGAACGTGTGACCCCACCAATGGATTGCTCTTCAAACGAGGAATCCATTGGTGGGGTCACACGATCGGTTCGAGTCCCATTTAGCGACTCTGGAGCTCAAAACGCGTCTCGAGTTTTGGCCGCCTCCACCGGTCTTCTGGCCCACTGTGGTCTGGTCGTCTGCTCCGCGGGGCGGTGGAGCCACGGCCGTTGTTCAAACACGGGCCGGGCTATCCCGCGGAGTCTCCGTCGCCGGAGATTCTCCCCCCACCCCACCCCCACCCCCTTTCCCCAGGCCTTTCATCTCCTCCCTCCCCTTTCCCCTTCCCCCTCACGCTAAGCGCTCTTTTTTAAACCGACGCGCCAGAAGCTTCTGCTAACTCTCCGGACCCGCGGCGCGAGCGATGTGACCGAGCGATCGGGTCCGCTCTCTCAGAACGAGCGAGCTCCCCGCGAGTGCGAGAGAGACGGAGCGACGCGGCCCGCCCCGCGAGTGCGAGAGAGACGGAGCGACGCGGCCCGCCCCGCGAGTGCGAGAGAGACGGAGCGACGCGGCCCGCCCCGCGAGTGCGAGAGAGACGGAGCGACGCGGCCCGCCCCGCGAGTGCGAGAGAGACGGAGCGACGCGGCCCGCCCCGCGAGTGCGAGAGAGACGGAGATCGCCCCCCCGCCCCGCACGGGCGGACCCGGCCCCCCCGCGAGTGCGAGAGAGACGGAGCGACGCGGCCCGCCCCGCGAGTGCGAGAGAGACGGAGCGACGCGGCCCGCCCCGCGAGTGCGAGAGAGACGGAGCGACGCGGCACCTGTAACCCCGGCCCGCGAGTGCGAGAGAGACGGAGCGACGCGGCCCGCCCCGCGAGTGCGAGAGAGACGGAGCGACGCGGCCCGCCCCGCGAGTGCGAGAGAGACGGAGCGACGCGGCCCGCCTCGCGCGCCTCGCGCCGCGTCAACCCGGACGCCCCGGCAATCTCCCCCCGCCGGTATTTGCCCTCCGCTTCCGCCCTCTCCGGCTCGCGCCGTCAATGAAAAAGTTGACAAGTTTTCCATTCAAACTTGCCGAGGGTCGTCACTCGAACGCGCAGTGCGTCGCGTTCAAAACGCTTTACTCCGCGTGTTTGTCTGACCCCGTTTGGTTCAACCCGCGGCCAAGCTGAGCGAGCTGAACTCGGCGCGACTATATTTGTCTTTTGCCGCCTGGTTCGCGGCGCGAGCGGTTCATTCTGAAATGAGCGCTAATGGATTTTCTATCGGCTCTAGTGCGGCTCTACGTGTCTGGCGTGTGTGTCTGTGTGGAGGGGGAGGGGGAGGCCGGATAGAAAGCTACCGTGACGGTAGCCGCTGGGGCCGGCGGGCCGCTGGCCTGGCGGTACCCCTTGGGCGTGTCTTCAATTTCAACGGCTCGCGGCATGCATAATTGAATTAGCAGTGGCGCGAGAGAGAAAGAGCGAGGGATGCGCGAGAAGAGCGAGAAGAGCAAGGTGGACGACGACAGCCAGTCGCGGAGGATGCAAGCAGGTTGCCGCCGAAGGTTGCCGAAGGTTGCCGAAGTGCGCCGAAGGTTGCCGAAGTGCGCCGAAGCGCGGCCCGAGACGTCAAGGAGTGTATTGGTTCCACAGGAATGGCAGGCTGCTGAGTCGCCCAGCACAACATGTTCCAGCTGAGCCAGGAGTCGAGCGTCATCTACCAGGAGGCCGTGCCCCTCCGCGCCGGCCATGTCGGCCACGTCGGCGTGCACCACGACCTGGAGGTGCCGCGGCGCCGCTTCTACCGCTACGTGCGAACCTCCACGTCCTCCGTGACCACGTCCTCGTCGTCGGCCACCTCGGCGTCGTCGGCGTCCTCGCGCCGCCAGATGGAGCCCCTGGCGCCGCACAACCGGCAGGACGACGAGACGCCCAGGAAGCTGATGGCGCTGCGGGGGCTGCGGCAGTACGCCAGCACCGACTACTACCTGCACGTCAGCACCAGGTACAGAGGGGCACCGCCTGGAAGAGGCCGAAACTAGACGCGTTTTGGGCTCCTGCGTCTCTAAATGGGACTCGAACCGAACCTATGACCCCACCAATGGATTGCTCTCCAAACGAGGAATCCATTGGTGGGGTCACACGTTCGGTTCGAGGCCTGTTTAGCGACTCTGGAGCTCAAACCGCGTCTATAGTTTTGGCCACCTGGTTTTGGCCCACTGTGGGACGGGGCACATCGAGTGATCGGCGCTTCAGCCTCTTTTAACCAGCTCGTTTTCAAACTGTTTTCGAAGTGTTTTGCAGTGTAGTGCACTGGCCTGCGGCTTGACGGCCGCGGGCTGCGCCGTGCCGGGCCGTGCCGCACCGACTGCGGGCTGGCCGGGGCCGGCTGCGGTGCGCGGTGCTCGATCCGCGCACTTCCCAGTGTCGGAATGTCGAAGCGCCAAGCAGAAAAACAATATTGTGAAAGTGCGGGAGCGGCGCGCCAATCATTTGCATGGCGGCCGTAATGAGAGCGATCGAGACTGAGGGGCGCGCGGCGCACAGTGGGCCAGAAGCCGGTGGAGGCGGCCAAAACTCTAGACGCGTTTTGAGCTCCAGAGTCGCTAAATGGGGCTCGAACCGAACGTGTGAACCCATCAATGGATTTCTCTCCGAACGAGGAATCCATTGGTGGGATCACACGTTCGGTTCGAGTCCCATTTAGCGACTCTGGAGCTCAAAACGCGTCTAGAGTTTTGGCCGCCTCCACCGGCTTCTGGCCCACTGTGCGGCGGCAGAGAGAGACAGACGAACTGCTCGGCGAATGAGCAACGAGAGAGGCATCGGAAGCTGAAGCGGCGCGACCCTCACCGCCTCGCTGCCCGGCTGCTGCTGCTTGCAAACCTTTTGCGCGAGTCGTCAATTTCGCGCTGTCGCGCCGCGTTTTGTTGTTCATTTTGAACCGGTTTTTTCGTTTCGCTGTCCACGGCAATGTTGAACGCGTTCGTGGGTCCGACCGGAGACAGCTCGAAAATAACAGCGGAAATTATTATCAGTCCGAGCAATTCTTTTTTTAAAATGCCAAAAAATAAAAATTAAGTTGAAGTTCAAAGCATTTTAAGATTTAAGAAAAATTCGAAAAATAGCCGAGGTTGTTTGACACTCAGAATCGACTGTTGTTTTCTCTTTACGGGCTACCGTGTTCACCTCGACGCCGCGTGCCGCCGCAAGGATTTGTCGTGTTGTCGCGGAGTCTAACGTGCGTTTGTTTTGTTGCAGGTTGGTACTGCCTACTTGTCCTCCGACCCGCCGTGCCGTGCCTGGCTTCCACTGTCGTGAGTACGTACACGCCACCGTGACACTGTGACTCGCGAGTTCGAAATTCGGAAAGTGTGCTGCTGGTTGAATGCCCAGAGTGTCGGCAGTGTACCTTCCATGTGCCCTCACGAAAATTTTCGTAAAAGTTTAGTCGACGGTCGACGAGTTACATGTAAGCGAGAGGAGGTAAGCGGTTAGGACAATTTCCCGGACCATTTTTTATGTGACCAATAAAATTTCGTGTCACGTTTTTGGACGCAAAATTGGCCGTGTGTACTCCAATCATCGCGCCTGGTTGGGCCTGGCTCGTCCTGGCTCGAGTCCTGGCTGCTATCTGGAGCAATGTCAGGCACGGCCGAGGCACGGCGCCGCGCGCGACTGCCACGATTGTGACACGATGTGTTTGGACAATGAGGCCGACCATTGTCTGGCACTACTCATCTTGCGTCGCGGTGCGTCGCTCCGTCTCTCTCGCACTCGCGGGGCGTCCCGCTAGGGCTCGTAGGGGTGCGAGAGAGACGGCAGCGCGCGACCCTGGGACGACGCGTGCGGCGGGGCCTGGTGGGCAATTTTATCGGGACGGGACGAAGACCGCGCGGCTGTCTCTGTCTCTCTCGCACCCTTGCGGCCCGCCCCGTGAGTGCGACAGAGAACGCACGAGCGCGACACGTCCGTTCGGGTTCCGGCAGCAGAGGCAGAAGCGTGTCTGGCGTGTCCGTGAGGCGAGCGCGGCGGGCACACTGGGATCGAGTTTACGACCGCGCGGAGTGAGTGACCATACCGCCGTGGGGGGTTATTTTTACAGTGCAGAGCACTGCGCGGACGGACGGCAACATCTCTAAAGCAGTTGGCGGATGGGCCGTCTGCTCCGCTAGGCCACGCCGGCAGGCCGATTCCGAGAGTCGCTCCGTCTCTCTCGCACCTGTACGGGACGCCCCGTGAGTGCGAGAGAGACAGCGCGACGACTCTCAGTCTGCAGGCCACGCTAGGCTACGCTAGGCCCTCTGCCCAGGGCTGGGTGCCCCCCCCCCTTTACCCTAATCAGAATGCATGAATTTACTCGCTATCTTGGCGGGGCCCGCTAGCCAACCAGCCAGCCGCCTTGTGGCGGAAGCGACATCCGCTTGCGGCATGTCAGCCACCCCCGCGTCATAGAGAGAGAGAGAGAGAGAGAGAGAGAGAGAGAGAGAGAGAGAGAGAGAGAGAGAGAGAGAGAGAGAGAGAGAGAGAGATTGTGCGCATGTATCCGGCGGTAGACCGCTCGCGTCGCTCGCACGCGCTGACCCAACTTGACCGTCGGACCGGCTGACGCGGACCTGGGCCACCGCGGGCTGCCCCCCCCCCCCCCCCCCCCCCCCCCGAGAGCGGCACGCCCTTGGAGGCGGCGGGGCGTTCTGCGGAGAGAGAGACTCCTGCGGATACGCGGGAAGACACTCTGACCCCTCTCCTCTCCGCGCTGCTGACCCGTCCGCGTCGCCCGGTTGGACCGGGTCGCGGCGCGGCTCGGCGATGACAGCCCTGTTCGGCGTTAAAACATTGACCGGCCCCGCCTGGCCTGGCCTGGCCCGGGTTCATCCATATTGATTGCACGAGGGAAAGGAACCCGAAGGGCCGAGGGACCCAAGGCCGGAAGGGCAGGTCCTGTCCAGAGGCGAGCCTCAAAGGGCTCCGAGGGCGTGCTCGCCGTCGCCGGGAAAGTACGGCCCAGCCGAGCGGAGGCCGTTTAGGAAGCATTTCCGTCGGTGATTAGCTGCTTCATCGCGCTTTATAACTACTTCACGGTGGCGACTGGTGTTGCTTTTCGTTAATTTACCGACGCCCCCCCCCTCCCTCCCTCCCCGTGCTTTCCCCGGCAATGCCCTTCCAGTGTAGTGCGCGGACCCACTGACGGGGAGGAATGTGTGGAACTGGAACGGTGCTGGACAAAGCGGCCTAGGCTGGAGCGTATTGCTAGGGCGCGGATCAAGTGTAGCTAGAGTGAGGCTGGAGTGTAGCTGGAGCGTGGATCAAGTGTAGCTAGAGTGAGGCTGGAGTGTAGCTGGAGCGTGGATCAAGTGTAGCTAGAGTGAGGCTGGAGCGTGGATCAAGTGTAGCTAGAGTGAGGCTGGAGTGTAGCTGGAGCGTGGATCAAGTGTAGCTAGAGTGAGGCTGGAGTGTAGCTGGAGCGTGGATCAAGTGTAGCTAGAGTGAGGCTGGAGTGTAGCTGGAGCGTGGATCAAGTGTAGCTAGAGTGAGGCTGGAGTGTAGCTGGAGCGTGGATCAAGTGTAGCAAGAGTGAGGCTGGAGTGTAGCTGGCTGGAGCGTGGATCAAGTGTAGCTAGAGTGAGGCTGGAGTGTAGCTGGCTGGAGCGTGGCTGTGTCTGGAGCAGTGCTGTACACAAAGCAGCCGCCTGGGGCGTGGCTGGGACGTGCGGCGTGCACCTGGCCTTTTAAACAGAGATAAAGCCCTTGCTCTTTATTTGGTTTGGATTGCGCGTGGCTGGCTGGGCTGGGCTGGGCCACTGCAATGAGGAAGGAGAGTCGCACAATGGCTCGGCTTGGCCGTCGTGGGAACACCGCTCCAGCACGGCCGGTACCGCGCCGCCCGGCGTCGCGTCGCCGCTTCCAGTTTTGATTTTGCCATTTTGCCGCTCCGCGGTGCCGCTGCCGCGTTGCGGGTTACAGCCCCGGTCCGGTACCGCCCGGTTTCCCTTTTACCGACGCCACTACTCTGTATGGCGCCGCCGCACTGCATTTGCAGTGCACGTGTTGCAGGCAGGGGACAGTTCGCACGTCCACACGGCTCGGCGGCCGCGGGCGCGGCAAAAAATAAAAATCTGTGTTTTAGTACACTTTTTCGCGCGGAAAACCAAGTGCCATGGTGCCGCTGGCTCGGCGTTGTAAGTGTCGCTCCGTTTCGGTGACTCTAATGGCCCAATCTAATAATAGTGGAGAGCTGGCTGCTGCGCTGCCGCGGCCGCCTGGCGGCACACAGTGGGCCAGAAGACCGGTGGAGGCGGCCAAAACTCCAGACGCGTTTTGAGCTCCAGAGTCGCTAAACAGGCCTCGAACCGAACGTGTGACCCTACCAATGGATTCCTCGTTCGGAGAGCAATCCATTGGTGGGGTCACACGTTCGGTTCGAGGCCCATTTAGCGACTCTGGAACTCAGAACGCGTCCAGAGTTTTGGCCGCCTCCACCGGTCTTCTGGCCCACTGTGCGGCAGCTAGACTCTAGCGGCAGCGAGTCCCGCTAAGGTCTCTGTTTAGCATGGGTGTCTAGTGTCTCCTTGACGAATCGCATAATTGCTCGTCTCTCTGTCTCTCTGCTCGCGGCCCTTCTGGCGCCGCTTAGCCACGGAGCGAATCCGCGCTCGTCGCTCTGTCTCTGTCTCTCGAGCCGTGGCGGCTGTGCGCCGGCATCTTGATGCCTCCATTGAAGCCTGCCTGCCCGCCGAGCCTGCCGCCGCCTCGCTGTCGCGGCTCGGCACGCGACGCTATCTGCGGCCTGCTTCCGAAACTCGCCCTCTCTCTCTCGCACCCGTGCGGCGCCAATGGGACGCCCCGCGAGTGCGAGAGAGACGGAGCTGTTTACCTTGCCTGGGTTGGCCGCTACCGCGCGAACCAGGGGCGTACGTTGCAGTGGCGTAGCAGCCGGACAGATTCCAAGGCGCGTCCACCGTGCCTTTTCGGACGGGGAAACGCAGCGAGCTGTGCCGGTGCTGG